TATACGGTTGATATTAAGAATTTTGAGATGGACTGAACAGTCATTCTTCCAAAAATAAATATTAATTGAAAAATTATTTTACAAATTTAGGATGAACTTATTGTACAAACTTTGATTGTCTTCTAACAAATAAATTGTGGCAAATGAATCAATGAGTACTAATTGAGATGGTTATTCAATGTCCCTCCAAATATAGAATCAATCGATATAACTGTAAGTTCTCCCTAATAAGATCAATGGGCCTTACATACACCCTGCACTGTCCCTTCAATTCCAAATAGGGAATGTGTGAATATCAAATGGGGAGACTAATAAATATTTCTCCCACCAAAGGGAGAAAATAGCTCAAGGTTTAATGGGAGAAAAATGGAAAATCTTACATGAATGAGGAAACAAAACTTCAATGGAGGGGATCCCCTGTTGCTGCTTGATTCAGAAATGCATGCATGTAATATTATATGTGTTTTTGCAATTTTTTCCTAGAGATGCCAATTGTTCTTACTTTTTTATACTAGCCACGTGGCATCTTATAGAAAGAAGAGAGAGAAGAAAGTATATGGGTTGAATTGGATTATATGTGTGGAGGAAGGGAAATGGGCACTGAAGAAAAAAGGAAATAAGATAAAAAATATAGGGATTTAAATGGAAAGAGGAAGTTCATAACTGCATGAAACTTATGCTTCATTTAGTTTATATAAAAAAAAAGGTAATAATAAAAAGACAACTTGATTTAAAAATATTTTTTTAGTTTTTTCATATTGAAAATCAGGGTTTCTTTAGCTGTCACTTTGTCCTCTTGAAACCTTAAATTTACAATAAGTTTTTCTTTCTTGGTCTATATTATCTTCATGTTGTCATCATCATCATCATCATCATCATCTAAACCTTATTTCAACTATATGGGGTTGGCTTATTGAATTCTATTTCGTCATTCCCTTCTATCCATTGTTAAATTATCTTAATGTTAAACCAATTCCTCAAATTTTATTTTGGTCCTACCTGATGAGTTTTACTATCCTGATCAATCAGAGCATCTTCATCTCAGGGATTCAGAAGAGTTGATAAATAGATTTGAATATTATATTGTTTCTTGAATCACAGTATGAAGACCCTAATCTCATAGGTTCAATATCAAATTTGAATGTTTTTAAAAAAAAATATCAATTTTGAATTTACTCCCCTAAAAGGAATTTTTCTGACCACCTACCCTTTATCCCGGAGAAAGGGTTGAATTGGTCACTGGTTCAACCATCTGAATCGATAGATCAATGATCAAATCAACAATTTTTTATAGGACATTGTATTAGAAAAGTTATGACCAATCAACCGGTATTCTAAAAGTGATAACTAATTACGTGGTATTCATCAAAATTAAGAGAAAATTTTCATTGGTCAAAGCTCTTCCCGTATSATGTCTCTTTAGCATCATAGATTTTTCCCTTTTTATATTATTATGTTAGGATTAAAATTGTGGTCTGATCGTCCATCCAACAAGCTGGGTCATTAATCAGTGAAAAATACTGGTTTACATGAATGAATCATTTAATCTTTACTCGATTGGATTGGTTGAAGCTTGAGGCAGCAGCATCTTTGGGTTGGATTCCATTCAAAATAAAATCAAGCGTTATTTTCTAAAACACCTCCTATATTTAATGAATTTATTAAAACTTACCCTATAGTTTGTGTTTTACTAAGACATCCCTTATAGTTTACAATCAATTTACTTATTCAACCTTTCATTAGATGAAAGTAGAAAATGACAGTTTTAATCATAACATCCATTCAAATAAATTTAATCAAAAGAAACTAAAAACAAAAAATACCATTTTTTCCCTAATAAAATAGGGGCAACCACTCTATTTATCTCTATTTGGTCAATTTTGTTTTCTATAAAAATATTTTTCACTCAATTTAGGGGTATTTTTGGAATAAACAACCATGGGTCTATACCCTTTAACATTTTTCACTTAGTTTAGGTGATCATGTTACTATTTTCAGATACCAAAACAAATGGTTCATAATGAAAGGTCGATTAAGTAAATAGGTTGCAAATTATAAGGGGTGTTTTAGTAAAATACAAACTATAGGTAGATGTAAGCAAATTTGTGAAACTATAGGGGGTGTTCCAGTAAATGACCCTAAAATCAATTTAGATGGATTGAATGGACCAATAAGACATATTAAATTTGACATGTACAGACTTAATGGTCCAAAGTATTTATTAGATTGGATTGAACCAGTTCCATCCATAATAGATTGATATTGGACTGAATCAATATCCAGTTCATTGATAGAAGATAAAAATACAGATATCAATGGACCAGGTTTGGATTGGAACTAATCTAAATTAAGACCATTTTGAATAGACTGGACAGTCCAGATAATGAATAGATTGGATTGGTCCAAAATGACCCAGAGTATTCATTGGATTGGATTGAACCTGATCCATCTGGTGTGGACCCATATTGGATTGGATCGGAATGGACCACATCCGGTCCAATTGACACCCCAACCTCCAAAGCTCCAACTATCTGTTTTTAGGGGGTGTTGAGTGATTATTAGAATACACTGCTGAAAATGTTGTGAAATAAAGGAAAAGAATTGAGATGCCTACCAAGTTTGCTTTGTATGAAAGCAACTAGTAGTGGGGGACAAAGTGGTTTAGATGGAGATTGATGCAGTTCAATAATGTAAGTGTGTTATGGTTTATTGAATTGTTCGTGGTCCCAACTATTAATACTAGGCCTCCTGTTTGGGAGGTGTGTTAATGGACCGGTTTTGGGTTGGATTCGTCTAAATCAAACTTAATTTGTACAGATTGGGTGTGTTAATGGACCGGTTTTGGGTTGGATTCGTCTATACCAAACTCAATTTGTACAGATTGGATGAACCAATAAATCATTGAATTAGATTAATTCAGACTCAATTTGGACATGGTCCATCCATCTATAATGGATTTATATTGGAATGGGTCGGATTGAACCAATATCAGTCTATTGATAGAAAATAGGAATACAAGTATGGACGTATCAGGTTTGAATTGGAGCCACTCTAAATTAAAACCAATTTGAACAAATTGGATAATCCAATTATTGAATTGGACTAATCCAAAGTAGTCCAAAGTATCCATCTGATTGGACTGAACCTGATCCATCTGTGATGGAATCATATTAAACCGAATTAAATTGGACCAAATCTAATCCAATTGACACACCTATTTCACATTGTCACGTAAAAGCTTCCTTTTGCAAGATGGGATAGTGAAAATCCAGAAAGCCTAAATGCACTGTCATTCAACCAAAAAAAAATGGTTTTCCGGTGAAACTTCTTTTAATTGCTTTTTTCAAAGCAGTTCAGTAAAAGTAGCTCAATCAAAGCTTCAGCCCTCTCAAGTCCCAAACAGCCCCAAGTCAAGTTAGAAAGGCTGCTTAATGTAGTTGAACCCAATGGCATATCTTTTGTCTTTCAGTAAGCTTTTTATTTTTTATTTTTTCTTTTTTCAGGTTGAAGTCTTTACTCTTTTGATGACTTATCAGGATCGAGAACTTTTATTCCGGATTGACTACTATACCCTTGTATATTTTATTATATGACTATTTTATCCTTCAAAAGATAAAGCAGTGATAACATTTTTGATAGTCATGTGGATGGATGGATGATGTTGTCATATGGAATGTTTGGTTTAAGGGTTTGGCGCTTTTCAATTCACCATGCTTGAGCGCGCCTTGATACTGATACCCCCTAAAATGACAAATAACCTTGTTTATTGTATTTCATTTTTTGTTAGTTGGGGTGGATTTGAGCTGAGCCAAATCAAATATATAGTTATTCGAGTTCAACTCGGCAATAAATTATGAAGCTCAAGCTCGAATTAGAGCTAGAAATTTGGGCTCAAATTTGGCTCAACTCAAAAACTCATATGTTTGAATTCAGATCATCTTGGGGCCCGATTATGAGCTATGCTTTTTATAAAAAATAAAATATTATTCTATATATACTAAAAGTTCAATTAGACTGACGAGCCTCATGAATTGAGTTTTATTGGGCTCGAGCTCAGCTCAAATCTTGGCTTAGACCAAACCAAATCAAGTTTTTTCACAAGCCAAGTTCGAATAATTTGTGAAAAGCTCAAGTTATTTTCCACCCTTACTTGGCACAAAATAGACCATACCATTATCATCCTCACAACCAAGCAATTGTTGCACTTGCATATGACAATTGAGACCCACATCTTAGCGGGCACTCGAAATAGACTTCCCTTTCTAAAATTAAGGGAGTGTGTTTGAGAAGTTGGTGGTGTTTTCTCAACCACACCATATATGTTCTGTACTGTGGACAAAAATGGGTAGCATAAACCACACCACATCCATATAGGTGTTTTAATTCTACGTAGTGTGGTTCAAGTGTTTTAATTCTATGTATCTCAGATATACGATACGAGATAATCTACAATGTCGACCAAGAATAATATTATTTTCTTGCTTTTTCTAAATAAAATACAAATTAATTTAAGTGGTTATCATCATTTGCTTGGTCTGTATTTCTCCATGGAAGAAGATTACTAGCTTTCAACATCTGATATCTTTCTCCAAGGTTTTACCACGTGGACAAGTTTCTTCATATGAGAATGACAGCACAGACAATTACCAACTCCACCCACTTTAGCGTAAAATCTAAATTAGATCTCCATGGATTGCTTTGGATCCAATTATCCAAATAAGCACTCATTTGGCCTGGATTTCCTCTTTGTTATCAAAGGGGCATTCCTGATGTTTTTGTTGTAAAACAAGGGCAATCATGTAAAGAGTGGGTTTGGCACTGGGCCGATGGGCCATTGGCTGGCTGGCTTACAGTCTTAGTGGGCCCATGGCCCGTGGACACAGGAGCAGGGCCGTGAACGGTCGATGAGTCCACGCCAGAGAGACGGCCCACGCATCAGTTTCTGAAATTATTATTAAAATTGGTAATCAATTATTAATACATCCTTTGCATTTCGATGACTGACATCCGTCGCGGCCCATCCAAAAAGGGACGGACTGGTCGATTTGCAGACGAAAACCCTCTCTCTCTCTCTCTCTCTCTCTCTCTCATATCTTCTCCGTTGTCTGTAACCTATTACCTATCCGTGAACAGAAAGAATTTGGACTGTAACGGAGAATTTTCAACGAAGAGGTCCATATATATTCGTGGTCGCTATTTCTGTTGTATTATTTGGAGGAGAATCTGCAGTTTTAATGGAGGTTTGTGCTTTCGAGTTGAGGAACACATTGTTAGATTCCTTTTGAGGCTTTGAAGGAACGGGATCTGTGTAATGACGCTCAAATCTGTCGCGTCCCCTCCAAGGTTGAAGATTTGAAGGAATGGAGCTAAGAGGCATTCTGGTGATCTTTGGGGGACAAGATTTATGCGATTGAGCCCGCGTTATCGGTTTCTTTTTCTGTACATATTTGCTTACTAGTGTTTAAATCGGCTGATCTGGGAATAATGTGTGTGTTTTTGCCATTTTAGAGATGAATTTATGGCGCCAATCTGTTATTTTCATTGAAGGTAGCTTTTGGGGCTTTTGAAGTTCATAATCTTCGGAGATACGTGCTTCTTGGTTTCTATTTGTATTCAAGTTCTCGTTACAAGCTCGGAAAGGGGTTCTGTTTTATCAGATAATGCTCAGGTTCTTGAAAGGGCTTAGAGTTGATAAGGATTTGGAGCTCTGCCGATATTTGGTTTTTGTCATTTGACTTTCAGAGAAGTGAGAAGAAGTGATGTCTCTCAAGAGTATTATTCAGGACATGAAGGGGGAAATCGGTAACATTTCTAGGAAGGGTTTTGAAATGAAGCGGGGCTATGGGTTGAGATCGAGGTCACATCGAGTGGTTCAGGATATTTCGGTTCCTGTCGACGCTCTGAAGCAGAGTTGTTGGGCTAACATGCCGCAAGAGCTACTGAGGGACGTATTGATGAGAATAGAAGAATCAGAAGGTGCCTGGCCTCCTCGGAGGCACGTGGTTGCTTGTGCTGGGGTTTGCAGGAGTTGGAGGGAAATGACGAAGGAGATCGTGAAGACCCCTGAACTTTCCGGCAAGTTGACATTTCCCATCTCACTGAAGCAGGTTTGACGCTTTGATCCTTATTTACGGATCATACTATTCTTTTTTGTTGTTGTTAAGACTTCGGTTTTCTTGCATTTTGGGAATTTTCGTGTTTTGGTTTATCTCGTCGCCATTATAGCTATGTTGTGAGCCTTTCAGGTTTAGCTTGTCTGAGGAACTTAATCTGGCTGGTTAAAATCCGAAAGGCATTCTATTGTTTTCTACTGATCAAAGAAATCCTAGTGTTTTCTTAAAGCTTGATATTGTTATTCTGTCTATTTATAGAGGACATAGTATTAAGAGGCACAGAAATTCCTTTAGACAGGAACTTCAGGGGGATGGGCTACCCCTTCTTGAGCCATTTGTGGAGTTCTATTGAGTAACCCGTCCTGATATGTAAACACTCCAATGGAAGGCTGTTATGGTCTTTTCCTTTTATCATCTATTGTTGGCTTTAGTTCCATTGAGGCCCGGAAGATTGAGTTTACTTCATGACTTACTTGATGTCTTCCCCTGAGTTATGTATGCTCAGTTGCCAGGATGAAGATGCATATGAACTCTTTTTTTTTTTTTTTCAGATAAGCTAGTTTCCATCCTTATGAATCTGAAGGGGTCATTCATCTCCGTCGAACTAGGCTACTCTTGTCATAGACGGCTTTAATTTCATTGTTAGTGTTGAAATCCTGGTTGTACTGACAATTTAATGTACTTTGTCTTAGAATAACTATTTTAAGGGTATAACAGTTCTACAAATATTTTTTACTAGAAAATTTTTGTTCACGATATATTTTTCTTCTGCATTTTCTGAGCATTGTGTGGCTCTTTTGCAAATTTTCTGCACACTTTCACAAAATATCCTTAATTGGTTTTCCTTTTTTACAGCCTGGCCCAAGAGACTCCCTCTTCCAATGTTTTATAAAGAGGAATCGGACCACGCAGACATATCATCTCTACCTTGGCCTTACTCAAGGTGAGCATTTCTGATCTTTGCTTTATTTGTGCGTTAAGTTGTTTTCTGAAGTTGGTGCGTGTTAAGTTGTTTTCTGAAGTTTATATATCAAAATAGAAATATTGTATACTTATGGTTAGCCAGGTTAATAAAAGAATTAAATCTTCTTGTTTTGGAGAACATTTGAGAGAATTATGGTTCTGTTTTGCCTTATTTCCTTCTTGAGTGGTAATCACTCAACTTGGTTGTGTTTTTCTATGAACCTTGCAGCATTAACTGATAACGGCAAGTTTCTTCTTGCTGCACGCAAGTGTCGACGCCCAACATGCACAGATTACATCATCTCTCTAAATGCTGATGATATGTCTAAGGGGAGTAGTACCTACATTGGGAAGTTGAGGTGTGCTCTAGCTGTAATATTTGACTTCAAATGCTCCTTAGTTTTCATGTGAGCTCAAGTTCACTCTCTTGTTTCTCTGAATAGGTCCAACTTTTTGGGAACCAAATTTACAATATATGATGCACAACCTCCTCATGCTGGGGTTACAGTTACTAAAAGTCGCTCCACTCGGCTAGTGGGTTTGAAACAGGTCTCTCCAAGAATCCCTGCTGGAAACTACCCAGTAGCACACATTTCATATGAGTTGAATGTTTTGGGTTCCCGGTAAGATGCAAGTTTATGCACGTACTTGTAGGTTTTCAGGAAAAGGGACTGTCATTATTTTCATTGTAAATTTTATTTTCTTTTGAAGCCTGGAAACTGGCTAATAACTTGCAGTATTTGAGCTTCATTGGAGTTATTAGTGTCAATTTTCTGTTTGCATGCCTTTATCATAGAACAGCCACACTAATGCATGTATTAATGAACCACCAGGGGTCCAAGGAGAATGCAGGTTGTAATGGATGCTATCCCAGCCTCAGCAATTGAACCAGGAGGTGTGGCTCCTACACAGACTGAGTTCCCACTTAGCAACGTGGATTCCTTCCCATCCCTTCCATTTTTCAGATCAAAATCAACTCGCACAGAGACTTTCCATTCAGGACCTTTAACTAACCCGAAGGAGGGATCCTTGGTGTTAAAGAATAAGGCGCCTAGGTGGCATGAGCAGCTCCAGTGTTGGTGTCTGAATTTCCGCGGCCGCGTAACAGTTGCTTCTGTGAAGAATTTTCAACTTGTGGCTGCTCCAGAGAATGGATCAGCAGGACAAGAGCATGAGAAAGTCCTCCTCCAATTTGGAAAAGTGGGGAAGGACTTGTTTACCATGGATTACCAATATCCAATTTCTGCATTCCAGGCATTTGCTATTTGCCTTAGCAGCTTTGACACCAAGATTGCTTGTGAATGACAAACAGGTGTGTCAAATTACCTTCCCATGGAACTGGACATTTACTTTGTTGAACTTAATTTTCAACTTCTGATAGTTTATGCATTGCTTGCTGGTATGCATTAAACTTTCAATCAGAACTACGAGAAAGATCTATACTGGTAACATTAGGCATCCATGATTGGTCAAGGTGCTTATTTGCTTTATACTGTCCAATAATTCGGTGCCGCTTTGATGAGATTGTAGGAAGGTAAACTGAACTAGTGATGCTAATTATGTGGTGTGCCAATGACTAGTTTTAGAGGACTGATTAAAAATAGAAAAGCTCTAGGTGGATTGGTATGCATGCAGTGAGACAATGACAGGTGGAACTAAGTACACAAAGTAGGTGTCTGTCCATCAAATGGTGTTCTAGGTTGTTGAGAATGTACTAATAATGAGAAGGTTTTGTGTGGAATAATGTCGTGGGTGGACCACCTTGCGCATGGCTAGACTGTTGGAGCCCCAAATTCATGATACGGTCAAATGCTGCCAATCTGTTGGGACTGAATGTATCACTAACAAGTTACAGGGAGTGTAAAAAATAATTTCATTCATGAGATTGATTTCATTTGTTCAACATGTGGCCTCTCTATTGGATGTATTGGCCTTGTTGAGTGGATGATCCAATTTGGGGTTATATCTAGTGGACCTTAATCATGTTTTCTCGATCATGCCCATGGAGATTTTTGTTTTGCTTGCTGATTAAGGAGATAGAAGAGGTATCTCTACCCAGATCAGTGGACATATGTAGATCTTGCTTGTGATGTTTAGGCCTCACTAATGCTATTTGTTCCTTTTGCTTGAGCAGTGAAGTGTATAAACATCGATTGTGGGCTTGAGGATGTAATAAAATATTCATTGGGAAGATGATGGTGGCGTTGTTGGTGTGTTGCTGGACAAAGTCAAAAGTGCAATGGAGATGCCGGCTGGTCAAATCAGTCTGCAATTTGTCTTTTTTGCATGTATATTTCCTCTACATCTTTTTCATTGTTTGTACATAAGAAATGTTCTGAACTTGAGGCATACTTGTCCAGTCCTGGGTAACGTCGCCATCCGACTGCAATGATTCTCGTTTCTTGTGGACTGAAACATGGACGCCTGAGTTTAAATTTATAGTTTGAACTCTCTTGAGGTGTGTGATGGCAAGATGACAGTGTTCGGACATGGTTTTGTAGGCTTGCGAGTTACTTCTCATATTGTAGAGAGCTCGTCCAGACTTTTGATCAGAGGCTTTGCCCTGTTTCCATCTTCAAGTTTTGTACAGCAAATATGCATGTTGGCTTATATGGGATGGTCTGCAAAGCCATTGATTAAGCTCAACGTTTGTTGATATTTGTGCACAACTTTTGGGCGACAGCCTAGATAGATGGTCAGGTCTTTCGTGTCAAGTCAAATGGATCCATCTGAAAATGTATCAGTTTGACCAATGTCTATCAGCTAGCTCCTATTGCAATCAAATCTGATCATTTTTTGCACGGTTGATGGTTCGTCACTTGTCATCCTTCTCTCTCTCTCTCAAGCCGAATATGAATTGCAGTGGAAAATAGACATTATCTGTTTGAGGAATGCCTGTGTGAAATGAAAACATCAAAGAAACAGAAAAAAAAGTTGAGAGAATTTTTTAGCAAGTTTTGTGAAATTTCTTGACAACTTTTCAACTCTTTGGTTCTGTCTTATTTGATCTAAAGTAAAATCGCACACAGCCTAAAGGTTTCTCTCCTTGAAACGTTCCTCAAATTACATGCTATTTTGCTAGTATAGTTCTTAAGGTTGCATTTGGATTAGAGTGGAAATCGTATTAGCGGATCTGGATTTAATAGTTACCCATTTTTTGGCCATTACTTGGCAACTTTCTCAGGTCGTGGAATTTAGAGAAACACTGAATTCATGGCCTAGTCATTTCTATTGAATTTGAGCGGAAATGAAATTCAAATCCTTTTCAGTTCTCAACATCCACATACTAAATGTACTGCAAAATTAACCGTGGGTCACTGGATCAATAGTTGATAGTTCAACCGTCTGGTCTGGACTCTGAAATTTATTGCTTGGCTTCTTTCTTCTTAAAGCCTTTTCTCCTGAATACTGACCAAGATTGCGCTTGTTGTGTTGAGTTCCTTTTGAATTGAGTTATTACTACAATGGAAAAATAAAAATGAAAGTGCTCGTTGATTTTGTTGGTCATTTGTTTCTATAACAATAATTATAGAACGAAATATGTACATTGAATCACAAATTTTAATTCACTGAATGTCACTGTTGAAGTTATCGCCCTCTTAGGGTGTATTTGTTTGCATGTAGAACGAAATATGTACAGTGATTTGGTAGAAATAGATACCTCTATCCTTACCTTCATTTGAACTGTATAATTGATCATTCCAACAGTGATTTGGTAATCCAGTTGCACATTGGAAACATTTCCCCGTGAATTTAACATACATATACAGGAGATTTTCCCAATGTGTGGTTGGATGTCATGTACGCAGAGTTTTTGTTTTGCAGGAGATTCGGGTTCATTCTAACATGCTTTCTTCACAAATATAAATGGTTAAAAAGAGAGTTTGGAGGGAGATGGTCCTAAGAGGTGCAACTTGAGCCGTTGGATGGACTCAAATTGGGCTTTTGTCAAATTTTGAATGGACCTAGTCTAAAGGCTTAAGCCCAGAGCTGTATAAAATGCTAAATTGGGCCAACCCGATTTGCACCCTATCCAGAACAATTGCTCAGAAGTCAAACTCCATTCCCCTATGTGACCTTATTATTGCACATTACAACATACATATGTTGGGTGCAACCGCCAACCAGTAAACCTAACCAACTGAAAATTGTTAGCTACAAGCATACACTCGTTAAGAGACCCGCTACTCCACTTTAGGGATGGAAATGGGGCGGGGCACCCCTCCCCATTTTCGCCCCGTGGTTAAAATCCCCGCACCCGTCCTCGCTCCGCCCCCGGTATCGGGGTAAAAATTCAACACCCATCCCCGGCCCCATCGGGGATGGGGAATCCCCGACGTATACCCGCCCCGCAATCTTCCTACTCTGACGGTCTAATTCTATTCTTGAATGGACGGGCTCTAGGGTGTGAACAAAAGAGGAAAGGAATATATATAATATATGTATCAAAGATTCAAAATATAAGGAAATTTACACGATTACAAACAAACTGGCGAAGAAGTTGGCTCAACCATGAAACAACCAATAAGCAACCTTGAAGAGCATCGACATTCACGTGTTCTAAGCAAAGCAAAAAAGCAAACTCCAAGTAAAAGTAATTCCAGTTCATGTACAATGAAGATCGAAGAACGAAGGAAGACTGGGAAACACAGTGAAGTCTGCTGCTACGGCAGCGGTGGCGCCCGGTGGTCGACGGACGAACGGAGAGCAAGAAAGGAAGAAACAGAGAATGAGAGAAAAACTGTCAGTGCCAAACTGAGAAACAGAGAATGAGAGAAAGTGAGAACCGCGGCGGTCGGCGGCAGCGGCAGCGGCACCCGGCAGTCGATGGTTGTGCGAAGGTTGAAGGAAGACTCAGTTTAGTGACTCTCTGAGTCTGTATGTGCGAAGGTTGAAGAAGACGGAATAGTAGGGAATAGGGAAACAGGCGGCAACTCGCAACAGTGTTGTATTCGAGACTCCTAACCTAATACTGCAATACCTATGTAATACCTTTATATATATATAGCGGTATATCTGTAATTTACAAACGGGGTTGGGGCGGGTTTGGGGATTTAAATGCAGACCCCATCCCAGCCCCGTCCCCGGTGCAGGGCAAAATAAAAATTCTCCGAACCCGATCCATCCCTATGTATGACCGGGGAAAATCCACCTAGGACGGATCGGGGTACCCGGTTTTATAGGTAAAATTGCCATCCCTACTCTACTTGTCTGGCCTCATTTGTTTGCGGTTATAATTTCATTTACACTGATGTGAAAGTATAGAAGTGCAAATGAAGTTCAGATTCTGATTCGTTTTTGATGATGGTGGAATTCACTGGATCCCTGCTCTCTGTCATTGACAGGTCAGAGCTCGACAGGGGGAATCAGAGCAAAATAGTGTGTGCCAATATATGAGTTTACCTTATATATAGGCCTCGAGAGTTTGTACAGAACTAGAGTGGGCAACCCGCAACTACTGCTTCCCTGGTCATATATGCTAATGGAAAACCCAATATACCATACCACCTTCTCTCCTAGATTTTCCGTTGTGCTTTCTTTGTACAGAACTAGAGTGGCTACCACCTTCAATTACCATGATTTCCCAAAATTGGTACTTAAACGTATTCTAAGCAATGCCTATCTCTTGATATCTATTGTTCATCTTGATCATTGCTACCGGTGAATGTCTTGTCAATGTTCTAAACTCCGACCCAGAACTAGAACCCTTTTGGCCACTGGATTTCGGATCAGCAGTTTTTGGCAAAAAGAGCAGCTCATGGGTAAAACGGAATCAGTTGCCTGATTGGTTTTTGGGATGAACAGTTTGACTGTCTGAGTCAATAACGGTTTGAAAACCATGTTGAAAAGTATTTGAAATTTGCATCAAACATGGACATTCATGCTATTTCTCTTGATGGTCATAGCTTTTCAATGCACTCATAAGAAGTGATCTATTGCAAGCTGAAGGGGATAGATGGGCTATGGGTAGACAAAAAGGGCATGCATCAAATGGTAAGAAATGATTTAATCCCTCCTAATTTTAAGTTTTTAACTATGGATATGTCACAAAACTAGGGGTGCAACTTTTTCGGGTTAGAGTTGGGATTTTGTCAAAATTTCATTGGGCCCAACCCAAAGCCTGAGCCCAAAACAGTATAAATTGTTAAATCAGGCCAACCCGACTTGCACCCTTACACAAAACATAATGAAATGACCAAACAAGTTGTATGTAACCAAACACATGTTGGAATAAGGCTTATGATGATGATGATGATGATAAATTAAATGACGATGATAACAAGGATCATAATTTTTCACTGGGTCTTTCAATGTTCCTTCTATCTCATTCAATAGTTGACGGATCACTTCCTCTAATATCGGGTTTGTTTGATACCATTGTCGTTTCCAGCTGAAACCCTGCCACATCAGTGCCACCTTGACATTTTAAAATACAATGGGAATTTTTTATTTGGTTGAGACTGTTTTAACTCAAAACAGTAACAAAAAAAAAACGTTTTGTCTGAAAATAGCAACAAGTCATTGCATTAAAGAAAACGTCAAATTGAGGTTTCCCCCACAGTCATTGCATCTCACAATGTTTTAGCTGATATGGCACATACCTGTCATCCGATGTGGCACGGTGATGAATTGATACGGTGCATCACGTATCACACAACACTTTGAGCAAAGATATAAATTTATATAACCTCAGTCTTCTTCATTGTATAAACTCCATCATCTACTTCTCAAAGCAGCCTGAAGCTCTTGACCACACATTTTCAGACATAGCACCCCCGTACATTGGATAAAAATAAAATCTGATGAAATCCCAAATTTGAAAAATTCTTATCCATTAGATTGGCATAACAGTAATTGGAAGTGTGATTGGTGTTACATAGAATTAAAAAATTTACTTTAAATACTTCAACATGAAACAGGACATACAAAACACGTATTTACTATAAATGCCTAATCAGCATTACTGTTGAGATTATAAACATTAAGTATTAACCAAACAGATTTTTCCTCTACCCGTTGAAACTTGCATCACCCACACTACTCAAGGTTTCAACCTGAAATGGTAACGATACCAAACACGACCATCATTTACATTGTGCCTTCTTAAATTTGAAAGGGGTGTTTGGTGAACTTGGATCTTCTACCCACGAGAACGTATTCACACCTACCCAGAAAATATCTCCTTCTGTATGAGGTCATAATGTGTTTTTGGTACAATAGTGTAGTCAAGTGTGGTATGGTTGAATCCGAGTCGTTAGTGTGGATTTGAACAATCTTTACATAGTTGTAAAGCACGTTAAACGCATGCATATTTGATGAAATGTCTACGTTACCTAAAATCCCAAAAGTAAACAAACAGAAATTGCAAAATCCTCTTTTCTAGCAACTTGTCACCGACCAAAATCTCTCACAGATCAAACCGCTTTATTTTTTGAGTAGGTAAAACCAAGTAATCGAACCCGGATTTTCTGCAGTTGGTATGGTGTGGGACGCGGTACACTTCCAATGAGATTCAGCCACGTCTCACTCCACATGCATTCTCAACTCGCATGTGCAGATGTGTTCTAACGGTAAGGTTAGGGGTGTTGGTCTCCAATTTCCTTGTTTTGATATCTTAAAAATAAGAAAAAGGTAAAGAAAAAAATAGGAAAGTTGACTGTCCAGTCGAAATAGGAAAAAGGCTAAATAAAAAAAAGGAAACTAAAGCTTTTTCAAATCCAGACGCCATTAACAACCAATTTTTAGAAAAGTGAAAAATGTTTCTTCTTTCAACGGCATTGAGAGAAGAGATTTGCTAAGA